CACCCGATTTCAATCATAAAGATTATTTCTATTAGGATACTTGAAAAATTCAGTTTACAAAACTTAACCAGCAAGTCTTGCAGCGCTAAGGCAACGAATTATCAATGAATCTCGAATTATTTCTAGACCATCATGGAGAAATGTGAAAGACGCATTCTACCATCGATTAGGGTACTGTCAACTCATAAATTGAGCACATTTTGAACACTTAATAACGTAACTATTGTTAAAAAAATGTTCTAATCTATCAATTGTTACGTTTTCATGTAGTTGAAAATAATTAGTATTAAAAAATTTATTGAAACAAGGCATCTAGGCGTTGCCAGACTTGTATTTTATGTATTTAAGACCTTTCAGGCTACATAAAATCATAAGTGTTACATATGGTTGAGCTCGTATTGAATAGGAGATTTTATTAATGACTAAATATACAGGGTGATGAATTTAAAAAACCAAAGTTACTAATATTATAAGGGAAACGGAAAATCTGACAACATTGCAAATATTAAATATGGAATCTCTGTATATATATATATATATATATATATATATATATATATATATATATATATACATATATATATATATATATATATATATATATATATATACATATATATATATATATTTATATATATATATATATAATATTATATATATATATATCCCCTTATCAAAACAGTGTCATTGTGTCATTGCATGCTAACTCTATTTTATATCTCTATATTCTCCTAATTTTGAATTTATGTAAAAATGTAAGTTTGATTAATGATACTGCAGTGGGATCTGTACTATAATATTAATATGAGTTTGTATCTGATATATACTGATATAAACACCTACCATGTTGGCAAAAAATGAGTGGATGACACAAGAAATTCTAGACCTGAAGGAAGTTCGAAGGCAACACAAAAATAGAAATATTATCGAATACTGTGAAATCAATAAAAGCATAAAAAGAAAAATTAAACAAGACAAAGAATCCTGGCTTGAGAATTTATGTAAAGAAATAGAAGACCTACAAAAAAAGCATGACAGTTCCAACCTCCACAAGAAACTTAAACATACTGCGGGAATTAGAAAACAGAAAAATGCTCACATACTTAAAAGCGCGGACGGAAAAAAATGTGATCACGAACAACAATGCAAAGAATGGGAGAGATACATCACTGACAGAAAACAGAATACTTCGGCCATATAATTAGAGGACCTAAATACCATCTACTTCGCCGCCTTATAATACAAAAAAAAAGTGGAAGGAAAGAGATAAATTGGTCGAAAGAAACTTTCATGGCTGCGTAATATTAGACAATGGTGTGGTTCCACAGTAGACGAATTATTTCGCGCAGCAGCCGACAGAGAAGGGTTTCAGGAAATTGTAAACATGATGACGGCCAACGTCTGAATACGGACACGGCACCCAAAGAAGAAGTATCTGATATTGCAACATTTTTTATATCATTAGATTGTTGAAACAACCATGCTATAAAAACATTACCTAACCATCTAACCTAATCCCTTGTTTGTCTGGACCTAACTTTACATCACCTGAGACAATCTATCCTAATCACACCAAAGTTAACTCAGATCTAATGGCCTTCTGTACTGTTTCTTGCAGAGCAAGGATATCTATTGTATATTTTTCCATAGTTTGGTCTAAGATTTTTAAAGTTTCCTGCTCATAAGTACCTCTCACCTTCTTTGTGCTTATTTTGAAGTTTTACATAGTTGTATTCCTTTTTCTTGTCCTTTTAATACCATACCTCCTCAGTTGTTTTCTTCTATTAGTTTCATGGCAATTTTACTATGGTATTTTCTTTTAGTTATTGTTTATCTTAATCCCATATTCATTCCTATTTACAATCAATTTCTTGTAGACTATTTTTGTCTGTTTCCCTTTGCTTTTTTTTTGTTTGCTATTTTAACTATTTCTTTCTGTATTTTCTTTTCTTTCTATGACAGATCATTATTTAAGTAAATGCGATCTTTATAGTGCTTCAAATTACTTTTCGTATTTAAAATCTCAATTTTACCTGAAAAGGTTTCTGTTAAATGAACTAGAATGGAATCTATGAATGCTTCCATGCTTTATTTTAGTTTCTTATCATCGTTTATATCTATGCTTAAACAAGATATAATCAAACTTTTCTTTCAACTTGTTTTCTCCAGTTGTTATATTTTGTCTTGCAATTATTTCACATATTGTGTTCCTTTATCTCCTTTACTTTAACATAGATGTTTATTACTTTCCATTTGTTCTTTCCTCGTTTTATTTCATTCATCATTTCTTCCTTTTTGTCTATTAATTGATGCATTATTTTAATCATGACATCCTTTTTCATCCTTTCTGTGTCACTTTAAGAAGATGTTCACTTTGTCATTTTACTACTTCCAAAATATTCATTCTGGTATCTTCTCTTGAGTTTCATTTCTTCATCTGTATCTACTTCCTGTTCCTTTGTCACTGTTATTCACTTTTCCTATTTTAATCTTTTAAATTATGATATCAATTATTTAATTAAGTATATTTATTATTTTAATTTAATTCTAATCTTGTTGGCACTATCTGCTTTCCATATTTCAAGTACCAAATGCTGATAAAACATAATGGGGCATTTTATAAAAAATTTTATTAGCTCTCCACCATTGAATTAGAGATCTGTGTAGATGGTTGCTTACCTAGAATAATAACTTTTATCAATCTTTAACCCACCCACAATAATACATAGTTTACATTTTTTCCAACAAACTTTTAGGGTAAATCACACTCTAAATTCCAACCTATAATTCTAAGTAACCATCAATAGGTTACTTCTGTTATAATATATCTAATTTTAAAACATTTAATTATACATAATGTTGGCTACAGTCACATTTAGACACATACCTCTGGTTACATATATTGCTTTGTTCCGACTTCTGTCCTAAAATGTCATTTTATTCAGTTGCTTTGCTATCAACAAGTCCTCACAGATACTTTTTCTAAGGACTAGCAATCCCAGTAGAGTAGCACTGATCACTGATGATGGAAGAGTTATTGCAAAAATGTTCTGTGATGTAGACTGACAGGGTTTTTCTATTAATATACCTTTTATAAAAGGAAAGAAAAGGCCCGCGAATTTAAAATTCCAATAATAATCTGTTTTCTAGACTACCAAAAGGCATTTGATTGTGTAAAGTGGGAAGTTCTCTGGACAGTTCTTCATGAGATGGGAGTTCCAGATCATTTGGCAATATTAATTAAAAACTTAATCTCCAGACCTGTTCAATTTATATGGAGAATACATAATGAGGAACGCACTTGATGGATGGAGAGGTGGCATCTCCATTGCAGGGAAAAAGATCTCAAACTTAAGATTCGCAGACGATACAACACTGATAGCAACATCTGAAGAGGAGATGTCGAGACTGATAAAGAGAGTAGAAATCGAAAGCAACAAGTGTGGACTCAAGATTAATAATCAGAAAACAAAAATCATGATTGTGGACCACGCGAATATCCTCCAAACAACAGGCGCCCTAAATCAATTCGAGAAAGTAGACGAGTTCACGTATCTAGGATCTTCCTTAAGCAATGCAGCCTCCTGCCATACGGAAATTCGCAGAAGAATAGGAATGGCCAAGAACGCGATGAGTCGACTGTCAAAAATATGGAAGGACCGCTCTTTGTCCAAAAAACTCAAAATGAGACTGGTACGGACACTCGTTTTTTCAATCTTTAGTTACGGTGCCGAAACATGGACAATAAAATCAGAGGATAGGAAAAGGATTGACGCATTCGAAATGTGGTGCTGGAGACGAATGCTACGCGTCTCGTGGACGGAGCACAGATCCAATCAGTCGATTTTCGAGGAGCTAAACATTCAGACCAGACTCTCCTCTCAGTGTCTTGCAAATGTTTTAAAGTTTTTTGGCCACATTGCGAGAAGAGACAATGACAACTTAGAAAGACTAATTGTGTGCGGAAACGTAGAAGGATGTAGAGGCCGAGAACGCTCACCTATCCGATGGTTAGATCAAGTACAGAAAGCCACTGGAGAGACGTTTCCGAGTCCATGAGAGCAGCCCAAAATCGCAAGAGATGGAGAGAATTGACAGCCCGCATTGTAGGGAATCACGATCCTCAGCAATGAGGAAACGACAAGAGAGAGAGATAAAGGAATTGTTTAAAGAAATTTTTTTTTAATTTGAATATCTTTCACATTATTATTAATTTATGAAAACTTGTTAAAAAGGTTAAAATAGTTCAATTTTAAAAGTCTGATGTTATTTCTTTAATATGCTACTATCACCTGTATCCACTAACTTTTAAACACTTATTTTGGAACTCTGTTGAATTTTCTAACTCATAATTCCCCAATTATTTGAAATTTATTACTCAGTGAAACCCACTGTTGTCACTTGCAGGGCCGTAATTTCTAGTGTTTGGTACATCATGCTCTAATTTATGTAAAAACTTTAATTTGATATAAGAGAGGATATTTTTTAGGCAATGCTACCATAAAATAACTGTATAGAGCATGATAATTCATGATGAAAAATAATCTGTTAAATAGAAAACACTAGAGGTATTTTAACCCTGTGATTTAACAGCTGTGATTAGAAAATAACAATCACAACCTGTGAATAACAACAAAATATAGGTACTGTGACGTGATTTTGGACTTATTTCATGTGTGTAAATTTTGATCGATAAAATGTGATATATCACTTTCTCATCTCACTCACAAAGTTTTGAAATGAGAGACATGTAACAGGATAACAAGAAATGAGGTAGAGGTAGTCGGCACTATGGCAGTATTGAGAAGTCTCTTTCTAATGAGAAATGTAAAGGCAAAGATAACATTATATCGTCTTTGGAGAAATATGATTATTGTATTATTAGTATGTAAACAAATATATGAAGAAAATGAAAACAGTATTTAGAATTTCGATTTATTGAGTTTGTGTAACTCATCATATTTGTATTGATATTTAATAATATTTATTCTCATACATTTTAAAAATGCCTCCAGTGCCAAATAAAAATAGAAAAGTTTTACATGTGCATACAACTATTTCCTTGCTTTAAATCACAATCACAGGTAAAAATCACGATCACAGTTATACCGGTGATTGCAGAAGCACAGTTTATCCCATCACTAAAAAACACAAAAATAAATCAATAGCTGAAGCAGAATGCATGGATATAAGTTTCAGGTTCATAGAACTCTAAACCTAGTGCTCTTGTAGTTTACTTACCGCTTGGATTTGTTCGTCTTTCTAATGACGTAAGTTTATGTTCCGCCGGTTCTATTTCAGTCTTTATGGGAATTTTCGTTGAGGCTACATAATCAAATGTATCCTGTGTACTTTCTCTTTTAGGTTCCTCCTTAACTTCAATTTTACAAATATCCAAAAGACCATCATCAACAGCATGATAATATATTTCTGCTTGACACGTCTCATCACTATCTTCTTGTTTTACTTCCATTTGTATAAACTTCGGTATCGTTTATCAAAAATAATTTCAGACATTAAAAAGTAAATAAAACGACGCTTAAAAACATAACCTATCATTTCTTCTTCTTCCTTTATTAGTTTATTGGGCAATATCCAATAATATCCCAGATTCCCAGGGGATTTTTGCCCAGCTATTTAGGGTTGATATTCTCAACTTGCTCTAGACAATCGAATATCCCCATATAACATAAATTAAAATTATTTTATACTGAATGAACACTGTGTTGAAACATCTTCTCTTGGGCCAAACAGTTAGTATAGGAAAGACAAGTATGTACTATGAACACAGGATAAAACTTTTCTCGTTTGGGGGTAGGGTAGGCATCTAGTAGATTCTAACTCGATGGGGGTAGGACTCTCTTTCCTTGTCCAAGGCACAGGTAGGAACCAAGCCACCGAAGTCACAGGTTTAAACAAAGAGAGGAATTTGTAAGGTTATGTTATTATAGTTAAAGTGTCAATTATGAAAGGAATGTCATTTTTTTTTTGACTGTATAGTATATTATCAAAGAATTTATTATTATTAAATTGCTAAAAATAGTAAAAATTATTTATTAAGCAATATACCTTGTCTGTACTCTAAATGAAAACTGAAGTCTGAAACTGTATACGTTTCTGAGTTTGTACAGTGGTTTTGATTTTAACTTGTCATGTAATACATAAAATCAGGTTTAATCAAATGGAAGTAAAACAAGAATTCACTGAGGAGACGTGTAAAGTAGAAATAGAATATTATAATGGCATGGATGATACTCTTCTGGATTGTCTTAAATGTGAAGTTAAGGAAGAATTCACTGGACAAAGTGCATATGATTATTTGGACCTGAAGGAATGTCCCATAAACACTAAAATAGAACATGGAAATCAACTTAATCCCTTTGAAGAAAACCAAAAAACTGAAAATGGTTAGTAAAAATACATTTGAGGACTTTGCCCATATTTACAACTAAGTAGTATAAATAGGAATAACTTTTTTACTATCTAATATAACCTTAGATATATTAAATCATAATTTTTCGCATGCCATAGAAGAGACAATTTAAAATTAACCAAGTAGTTAAATATTTTGTTAATAAAATAAATATGTCCCACAGAAAAAGAGAAATCTAATTTATAGTATTTATGCCAAAGGCAGGCAACAGGGTACAGCCTTATTCTACTTTCAATATTTCCTTAAAATCATGCATAAAATTTAAATTACATGAAAGAAAAACATTTGAAATCTCCTGTTATTGAAATTTGATTAATGATGCTCTCTCTGACTTTGAAAATAAATATATAGACAGTTAGAATTAGAAATTGTTTAATCCTTTAACAATTATAAATGTCTGTGTTTCTGTCTGTCCACAATTGTCAATATATATAGCTTAAATGGTTTTATCCATTTTCATTTTATTAATTCATTGGAACTATTTAAGTAACCCAATCAAATTAGTAACTGTAAATTACCAGCTGATAATGATAAGCAAATAGCCAAAGAAGAAAGGGGATACATGGAGGCTATATACTGTGCCATACATGGGGATGGTTTATGGTATTGAATTAAGAACTGTGTGTTGGAAAGATACAAAAAATATATGTCTAGCTTCCACTAATGTAGGATAGCAGTCATTCAAACAAGTACTTTATCAACAACAAATAAACAAAGTCATTAGTTATAATAGAAAAAAAAAGTTGTACATTGATGTGGAGTGTCCACAGATCATGAAAGAATACAACAATCATATGGATGGTCTAATGGCCAGTTACTGGATGTAGATATAGGGTATTCATAACAAAACTGGAAAAAGAAGGTGCAAATATTGTTAGAAGTCTTATCCTCAGGTGCATTAAAAAACATACTAAATCTCGTCTGTTATTGAAATTTTTGATGAATGATATTCTGTCTACAAAAATATGTAGAAACACTTAGAATTAGAAATTTATTAATATACTTAGATCAATTGTGTCATAACTAAGAGGGACTAGAAATTGGCAAAATTCAGTTATAAATTAGACCATCATTTATTCTTTTAGTTAAATTTTAAACATCTATATTATATATAATTATTTACATTTATTTCAAATAATATCCCAACACCATAAACAAGAGAGGTTGATATAATTTTTTTCCCTACTATCTTTTTAAATTAAATTTCTAAAATCATTGGTGAAACTTAATAGGGCTGTTTCAGTCCAAGACAAAAAAATTGAAAAATACATGATCATCATGGCAATCTTTATCTTATCTACAGCAGTGCAGAAAAACTGCATATGTATTGAACCAGATTCTGAGGTTCTTTGACCAAGATGTTTTTCTTCTTCCTGGACCTCGTTTTCCAAATATTTTTCCTTGCAGGAAGGCTTGAAGGAAAGCATATCTGCATTATTTTATAGGTATTCGAAATAATAAAATCCTGATGAATGTCAGTTAAATCTTCACGATTAATTTCCTTATCGCCACTAGGAAGATTAAGCAAAGAAAACATCTCTTCATTGAACATTTCACAATTAATTATACTGTTAATAGTAATATTCACAGACTCTGACTCTACATTTTCAGATGTTGAACTAATTTCATCATTTTTACACATTGCATAGTTTCTTAATCTATACTTCAACTCCATAGCTGTAGGATGATCATGTAGACCACCAATTGCCCTTAAAATTGAAAATAGGCCTTCTGGAGGGTCCTGGTTAAGATTTAAGTTAATATATATTTTACATTAAAGTCATTTTCTAAGTCAACAAATAGTTGTTTTAAAGATCATAAGATATAAATACCTCGCTAAAATGGAAGTAAAGAGTTAGATCCAATTTTTCTCACAGCTAATATTGTCTTCTTCATTTTATTTAAAACTTCATTTTGTTCTTTCAAAGCCAGCTCATATGCTTTTATATGACTTCTAGAGTCACTGTGGGGCACTCTAGAGTTAAAAATATCAAACCAATCATTAACAGTTTTGAAGAAGTCAGATCACTCAAACCAGTTGTTATGGTTTTTATACAAACCTAAACCTAATCTAGAAATGGCTTGAGAAACTGTGTGTGAAAATAATTTAGTGGCAAATGAAAAACCAGAGTCAAGAAAATTTAGCAATTATAATAATAACAATTAACTTAACAATTTGATCACCATATGTGGTGTATCTGCAAAACATAAACATTTTTTTTGCTAATGGGATTTTCTACCATGTATTTTGTTCAATTATATTTAGAGCACTCGAAAGACTTCTATTACTACCGCCTAAATCACACTATTAATTGCGTAAACTGGGTATCCAATGTTTTCCAATTTTGTTATAATTTCAAAAAATATGTGTTTTGTGATTCTACAATCGTAATTGTAAAATATTAGTAGTTTACAGTTGCCAAAAATTCCTTGAGGCACAACAACTTAAGCATATTTACTTGGACCAAGTGTAGTGTCATTTTTCTTATCATATTAAGATGTCTGAATTTTCATCCCATCAAAAAGCAAATCACAGGCCTTCTCCATTTGGGACATTTTGTTGTTTTTCATCAGTGTCAGGACTGTATTTAAGAGAAGGTATAGCATCATTTCTTAACTTCCACCGTTTGTCATACAATCCCAGTAGTTTTTCTTTTAAACAATAGTCAGCTTCGGTAAATTCTTGCAGTTTCTACATTAATTTTGTCTCACTGAAAATACTTAGAGACCTATACTTTATGCATTTGTTTGTCTCTAGGAAACAGAAAAAAAGATACTTCGAAAAAGTTTTATTTTTTTATTATTAATGTTTAAATAACCCACCACTGCACAATACATTATGGCAAATAAATAGCTACTAGGTCTTCTTTATAAAGTAGCTATAGGTAGAGGAAGTTCAGTATGGTAAACCAATTAGGTGATATTAACATTTTAAGCCCCAAAGCCCAAATGCTCTCCTTTTGTCTCGGACCAAAGATTTTGTTTGTACTTCCTGACATCAAAATTATATTACTTTTTATGTGTGCGTGACAATTTGATGTTCTGACAATTAAAACAAGGAAAAACATTAGAGCCATTTAAGTTGCACACAGTCTATGTATAAAATTGTTTGCTCTTGGCTTTAGTCCAGTCAGACCATGTGCATCAAGTTGTCTCACACAGTTTGTAATGCATGAACAAAATATATTGCAACAAATTATGATACTCTATTACATTAACTTCTTAACATTACTTGCATGGTTTTATCAAAACAACACTTAAGTAATACATATAAAAGTAGTAGATGGGCAGCCTGGACAACATGTATGTACTTTTTTAGCATGTTTCATTGCGGATTGCCTTTCATCGCGTTCTGAAACAGATTTATAACAAAGTGTGCATCTTCCTCTGTTCTTTTTTTTCTGTAATTCAGGGCCGGATGGATTGTTCTTGTTGTGGTTCGGAAGCACCCCTAGTATGTAGCAATGATAAAACTATTTTTTCTTGGAAAAGAAGTAATAGGTATTATATTACCTGTAACATATTTGTAAAGCACATGCGCATTAATAACTGCCTTATTAGTCAAAAGTGCGATAGCGACCTTCCGGTACGATTTGTTATTTCTACGAATGGGAGAACTGTATGCCGCCTTTTGGTCCGAAACATCAATAAAGGCTCTTGCTGCAATATATTCGACAACAGTCAGTTTAGGTTCAGAAACGGACTAGGAACCAAAGAAGCGTTATTTGCTTTTAATGTGTTAGCTCAAAGATGCATGGATATGAATGTTGATGTGCATGTTTGTCACGTTGATTTTGAAAAAGCATTTGACAAAGTAAGACATGAAAAATTAGTCCAAATTCTAAAGACACAAAACATAGACCACAGGGACTTACGAATAATAACAAACCTCTACTGGAATCAAAGAGCACAAATCGTAATAGATAACGAACCCAGTCCAGAAATTGAAATCAGGAGAGGAGTTAGGAGGGATGTATTATGTCCCCATTACTATTTAATGTATATAGTGAAGCTATTTTTGAAGAAGCATTACTATCTCAAACTGAAGGAATAATAATTAACGGAAGATCTATTAACAACATAAGATATGCAGATGACACCGTGATTATGGCAAGCTCTGCTGAACAACTCCAATTACTGCTAACCAAAACAAACAGTTTATGGACTACAAATGAATATAAAAAAAAACCAAATACATGATAGTAACAAAGAAAACGAATATACCAACAAAAGAATAATATACCGATAGAAAGGGTTAATAAATACAAATACCTAGGAACCTGGATTTCAGAAAATAATGATCAAACAACAACAATGAAATAAGAGCTAGGATAGAAATAGCAAGAAAAGCGTTTGTAAAAATGAAAACAATTCTCTGCAACAAAGATCTTAGATTAGAACTGAGAGTAAGACACTGAGATGCTACATGTTTTCGATACAGCAATATTGACTTAAAAGCTGGACAATTGAAGCAAGAACACACAAATAAGTTACAGTCCTTTGAAATGTGGTGTTACAGGAGGGTGCTTAGAATAGCATGAACACAGAAGAAAACTAAAACGGAAATATTGCAAGAAATGGGCAAAGAATGCGATTAATACACAATAAAAATAAGAAAGTTATCTGGGACACGTAATGAGGGGACAGCGATATGAACTGCTAAGGCTGATAATACAGGGAAAGATAAGAGGAGGAAGGAGTATAGTAAGAAGGAGAGTGTCATGGTTGAAGAATTTAAGGGACTGGTTTAAATGTTGCTCTTTAGAGCAGCAGTAGATAAAGTAAAGATAGTGATGATGATATCCAACCTCCGATTGGGATACTTTCGCTTTCTACAGCATCATCAGGGGAATCTGAAATAAGTCAAGAAAAGTTTTTTAAATGAAGAAAATTAATAAACTTCGATAAAAAACTCGAAGTTAATGGATGATAAAAGTTTTTTGTGATTAACATTTTAGACTTACTTTCGTCAAA